AAATATAGAGGTTTTCTTTAAATTTCCTGTGTGTGAGGCCCGTGCTAGATATAATAAATGGTAGGATTTTAACTTCTTTTTGTTGCCATATTCGTTCTACTTCCTGTGTTAGTGGAATGTATTTGCTAATTTTTTCTTCATATTTCTTTGTTATGTTGTTGTCATTCGGAACACTGATTTCTATTAGATATGTTACTTTCTCTTTTTTTAGTGTTAACGTTATATCAGGTCTATTGCATGTTACTGTCTTGTCAGTATGGATCGTTCTGTCCCAGTAGAGTTTTATAGTGTCGTTTTCAAAGACAGATTGCGGCGTGTATTTGTAATAGGGCTGTTCTTCTTGTATAAATTTATATGTTTTTGCTATTTCTTGATGTATAATACGCGCAACAAAGTCATGCCTTAGAGTGTATTCTGTACCAGTGAGTATTTTACAACCATTTGTAATATGCTCTATTGTTTCACTTTGGAGGTGGCAACGCCTGCAGGTATCCGTTTGTTGGGCCCTATCTTTTATTATGTATTTCCTGTAGTTGCGCGTTGCTATTACTTGATCTTGTATCGCTATAATGAATCCCTCCGTTTCCGGTTGCAGTTGCCCTTTTTGTAGCCATGAATATGACAGTTCTTTATCGATGTCGGGGTTGTTCATAATATGACAGTGTTTTCCATGTAGTTGCTTTTGGGACCATTTGTTTTTCTTTTCCTCTAATGTGAGTATATTTGAAACAGGAATATTTTCTGCGTTAAGATTTAATGGTGTGTAGTTAGCATCCGCTATAGTTACTGCTTGGTGTAATGAGGTATTTTTTTCTTTAAAGTATTTTCTTAGTGAATTAATCTGTTTGTTGTGTATTTCGTGAATATCTGTCAGGCCCCTACCTCCTTCTTTTCTTTCAATGGTCAGCCTCTCCTTGCAAGAGTTGGGATGCAGCTGTCGGAATCTAGTTAGCTGAGTTCTTGTCAGAATATTTAAATTTTCCAGATCTGTTTTGGACCATTTAATGATTCCAAATGAATAGGTGAGCAGCGGTATGGCGTAGGTGTTAATCGCTCTAACTGTGTTTTTTGAATTTAGTTCGGTTTTCAGTATTTTACTTAGTCTTTTCCTGTATTGTTCTTTTAGTTGGGTTTTGAGTGCGGTATGGTCAACTTTTCTGTTTTGTAAAATTCCCAAGTATTTGTAATATTCGTTGGGTTGCATGTTGTCTAAGTGTTCATTGTTTAATGTAGATGCCTGCTCTTCGTTTTGCCATTTACCTCTGTTTATGTGTAGTGTTTTACATTTGTTCATCCCAAATTCCATTTTTATGTCGTTTGTGGATTTTTCTAGAATTTTAAGTAGCTCGGTGTGTTCTGTTTTTGTCGCTGTATATAGTTTTATGTCGTCCATGTATAGGAGATGGTGAATTTTATGTCTTACTGATTTTTCGTATTTAATGTAAAAGCCATATGCTGTTTCGTTCAAAGTATTGGAGAGTGGGTTAAGGCATATACAAAACCACAGTGCACTTAGGGAATCGCCCGGGAAGATTCCTCTTTTGATTGGGATTGAATCTGTTTGTATATTTGCATTACAGGTTGTTAGATGGATGCTTGTTCTCCATGACTGCATTGTTGAAGCATTGGATGGATTTTATATATTTGAAGAACCCTTTTTAACCAGCTATGTGGGATGGAGTCATACGCTTTTTTGTAGTCGATATAAGTTACGTGGAGATTTCTACATTCCTTGACAGCTTGGCCCATTACTACCGCATCAATGGTTAACTGTTCCTTGCATCCTTGGCTCTGTTCTCTACATCCCTTTTGTTCCTCTGTAAGGATATTATGCTGTGATAAGTGCTGATTATTATTATTATTTATTTATTATTTCTTTCTCAGTTTTAACTGGCTGTTATCCTGTTCTGGCCGGGATAGCTCCGCTTTCCTAGGGCCAGGCAGGTAGTCGATCAAGTAATACTTATTTTGTGAAATGGTGTGTTATTATTATTATTATTATTATTATAAAATCCTGTACCCGCAGATTCATAACTAAACTACTTTGTGATTTTCAAATTTAATTGTGTTAAGTTTTTTTTTAAGCAAGCTTTTCAAGTGTGTTAAGTTTTTTTTAAGCAAAAACTATGCGTCGGACGAAAAAATCAAGAGACAAAAAAAAAATTTAGAAATGAATGGAGATTTTGAAAATAATTTTTATTTTAAGAGAAGTCGGTGGTGTACCACTTTTTTCTCCAAAAATATTGAATATAAAACCCGTATGGACGGCACTGGTTGAAATAAATAAAATTCTTTGTAGACCAAAAAAGGCATTTTGATGCATAAAAGACGTGTATCAAGTTTTATGAAAAAAGTTAGTTATTATGAAAAAAAGTTTTTTTGTTAAAAAAATTTACCACCCTGTATCTCACAAATTAAGATGTTTACGATATACATTCATATGAAGTTTTTCTCTTAGAGCTCAAGCGCACTGACGATGACGGCCAGGTCGCTGCGAGCACGGATATATTGCGTATATACTAGGTGCGTCCAGTTGAACGACAGACCAGTTTCAGCAGGGCTGTCAGATCTAACGATTTTTTACGTTTTACCAATTAGAAAATACTGTTTTCAGAAATGTTAAAATATCCAAGTAAAACTAAAAAACCAAATTCCTATTCATGAACTTATTAAATGTTCTAATATTAAATAATGCATTCAAAATATTAATGGTAGTTACAGTAGGGTAATTAGTATAGTTTTCACACATTGTAGAGGAAGAAAAAAAATATACAGGGCAGATCAAAAAGAAACTTTAAATATGTTTTTTTTTTATTTTTTACCATCGAACTCGTAATCGAAAAAGGTATAATAAAGCCGCATCCAATCTAGGCGAACAAAACGTTCGCGAACATATATAATTAACTAGATAAAAAGTGAAAATTGTGAGATAGGTAGATTTATAAGTAATAAAGCCAACAAGTACAGCTATCCTAGGCCTATTAGGAGCACGGTGCGAAGAACGGCTAGCTTGTACGCCAGAGCGTGTGTCTGCCTGCATGCTAGAGCGCGCGCGTTCTTTTTCCGACGGGTGTCAAAAGGAGTGAACGGCGTGCATTTCGGCGGACTCTGGGGCGGACACTTGGAAGGGTCTCATTTAATTTCGGGCGTCCATCTGTAATTTTTATTTTTTACCGAGTATTCGACAATGGGAGACGCAGTTATTGACTGGGATCGTGAAAAACATTTACAACTAATTTGTTTACACAAAGAAAATATTTTATAATTTTAATTTTATTGTGGGTGGAGTGTGAATAGCTATGTAGCTAGACTTCGTCCATATAATTTCATTTTTGTTAATAAAGACCTTTATGATTATTATAAAAGTGGTTCACTTCTATAACTTTTTTATTTTTTTAGATAAAAAACGAGATTTGGTATGTTAGTATAGGATATAAATCAGGATTGATCGACGTTTTCATTAATTTTCAGTCACTACCTAATAAATTTCAACCGAAATGACAACAACTTTTGATTTAAATGGTACGCTCGGTATTTTTTTACCGTATATGATAGAAAATGACATTCTAAATAGAATGATGTATTATATGTCAACTTTTGACATTTTCAATTAAAAAATGGCCATAAATAAACGTAACGACAATTTTACTCCAAATACCAAGTATGTGGTACCAAATTATTCGTAAAAAATGCTTTTTCCAAATATGCTGAGCCAGCCTCGTACCATTTGAAAAAATTGAGTTATCATTAAAAATACGATTTGGGCATCTTTTAAGCGGCCATGAAAGGATACGAAAAAAAATTACACGAGCAAATATATGTTTCCAAAGTTCTTTGATTACAAATTAATAGTTTTAACTCAGTCTTGGTACTCTAGATTGAAATTTAAAATGCTATTTGTATTTAATTGGAAATGTCTAAAATTGACGTATGATATGTCATTCTATTCAGAATGTCATTTTCTATCAAATAAGGTAAAAAAGTACTTAGGATACAATCTAAAAATCCAAAGTTGTAGTAATTTCCGGTGAAACAGGAAGCGCGACCGAAGGTAATTGAATACGTCAATCAATTCCCATTTATGTCATATACTAACAAACCAAATTTCGTTGTATTATCTGAAAAAATAAAAAATAAAAAAAGTGAGCCCCTTTTGAGAAACACCTGGTAGAATCGGCTGAAAATGAATACAGAGGTCTTAAAAATACACTATAACGAATAATCTACCAAAAGATCCCTGTAACCCTCCGCCTGCTAAATATTGATTCTTCAACGACAAAAGTTCTTAATTTACCGGTTAAGTTATTTAATAAAAATACTTGCACTGTAGTTTTCTCAGCTTTGTATCAATTTTGTTTTGCTACAGAGTTTCTTTTTTGGTCTTTTTTTGCAAGCATCAGCCAATACAATAAAAGCAGCTGCCGCAATTTTCACGTTATCATCCATATTTATTTTTTTCAACTCAAATTTAGCCGGGTACTCGAAAAAACAGCGACTACCTAAACGCATCCTAGATCTATAGAGTAAACTGGTTGAAGCATTCTTCCCCGCAGCTCAGTCGTCGGGACCGATGGGCTGCTATATAGTGTTAATTATATATGTTCGTGAACGTTTTGTTCGCTTAGCTTGGACGCGGCTTAACATGTATCATACCAACCATAAATAGAGTATGTCATTTAAAAATGTTTTGAATTTTTACTAGAATCGACCGTTGATAAAAAAGGGACTAGATTTAAGTTTCCCTTTGTTCCAGTCTGTATACTATATATTTCTTTGTTTTCAAAAACTACACTATAAAACTATACCTTATAGAAAATTTTGCGTTGAATTTGGGGGATTTCATCTGAAAAATTATTAATTTGAAAGAAAAGCGGTCAACAAGCGGCAGAAAATAATATTTTCCGCTCCATATGAAACAACACTTATAGAGCTCGATCATATAGCTCAAACAATAAAGTGTATCTAATTAAAAGGACTTACAGAATCAACAATAAAAACACTGTTTAAAAATAAAGCTACGTTTCTTTTAATATTTTTGTACAAGGTATATTGAGATTACAGTTCTTTATTGAAAAAATATAATATCATCGGCCGCTATGGATGTTGTATTTTTTGTACTACCATCTCCTTGTTTTACCTCACCGTATATCAACTTTCCACTTACATGAACTCGTTGGCCTTTTTTTAGATAAGTTAACACTGTCTCTCTTAAGCCAGGTTTAAAACACACTATTCTATGCCATTCTGTTCTTTGTAAGAATTCCCCTGATTCGTAGCGGTAATTTGTATGAGTCGCTAACGAAAATACTGCAATCGGAAATTGATCTGATCCCTTTTTCTGTGGTTCTGCTCCTACTCTGCCCAAGAGTGTGACATTATTGATTGCTGAAATATATATTAATATAAACAAAGGATGTTATCGTGAGGACTTTAAAAAAGAAAAACCAAATAATTGGTCAAAACCCATAGTAAAATTAGCCATGAAAACGACTAAAATACGACTACCAATTAGTGTGTCTGCCTTCCGGCTTCATCAATAATCAATACGGGAGAAATCAGTAAAGATGAACTGTTCATATTTACTGTGGGTTTATCTTACTGTGAGTTTTGCCCGATAATTTCGTTTTTCTTTTTTATTACTATAAATATTAGGATGTCCGTTATTTCCAAAGTTGATTTTTTTTGTTTATTAAAAAAAGTATGGCTCTAGATCAGGGTTGGAAAAAATCATGATTTTTAAAAAAAAATAAAAAAATCAGATTTATTTGATTTAAATCAGATTTTTTTTATTTAAATCAGATTTTTTTGATTTTAATTCAAAACAATATTTAACCCTCGAGTACTTGTATCCCATGCGACCGCTGGTGTATTTTTTCGCCGCGCGAGTAGTCGAGGGTTAAATCGGATTTCCAAATGACTAGGACTTATTTCCAATTCAAGTCCTATCCTAAATGGCTAAATCTTTATAACTCTGCCCGTTATCAATAACATTAATAATTCTAGGGTGCGTTTGTCATTTTTCCTCATCGGTCACCAATATATTTCGCAAAAAAATCGCTCGCTTCAGATCAAAAGGATTTTTTTTAAACGTCTCAAAAGTATTAATTTTTGTCATTTCAACGCCTAGGTATAAAAGTAAAGCACTGTTACGCCTAAGCATAAGTACGAAAATATATTATTAAACTGATATTAAGTGTCAAATTCAACGAGTGTACAAATTGTTGCTCCATTACTGTTTATATTATTTGCAATGTTTGAAATTGATTAAAAATTATTTGTAATGTTTTAAAAAAATAGTATGTATGTTTTATTAGGAGTAAAAAAGTACTTTTTGTGTTACCTTGTAACGTCGGAATAGCTTTACGATGGTCCTTCCAAGGTACAGCATCATCAAAAAAAGTATAATTTTGACTCCTAATAAAACAATACATTATTGTTCGGAAATACTCTTAAGTCGAGACTGAAATTAGTATTAGTCAAAGTGTAAAATACGCACTGCAGATCAAAATGTCGGTAAGAATTTGGAAAAATACAACCATTTCAAAAAAAAATATATAAAACAACATATTTCCTGACAACGATTATTATTATAGATTCTCGGGAATGAAGATATAGTCTCTATATCAGAAGAACCTAGTTCTGCATTAGACTGCGAATGATATGTATGGAACAGGGAATTTTTGTCACTTATACATAAATTTTAAAATAAATCCCTGCGTTTAGCGGTCTAATGGATTCACACGAAATTACTTCAAAAATCGGTCCAACATTTAAATTGATGAATAGATATTTTTATATAGTTTTATAACATTTTTATAATTTTCTAGGACACATTTTTGTAACTTTTGCAGTTATTTTTTGATTTATAATAAAGTTTTAATAAAATTATTTTTTTTTATTTAAATCAATGATTAAAATTAAAAAAATCACTTGATTTAAATCATGATTTAAATCATTTGATTTAAATCATGCCAACCCTGCTCTAGATCCTTTTTTAGTCAAAATCGAAAGGCGCAATTAGAATGTGCAGTGAATGATTTGGAAACATTTGAATATAAACTATGTGCATAACTTTGACTGCGAATAACTTTTAAAGGAATATTTTTATGGAAAAAAACAAAGAGACCTTTTTGTAGAGCGTAAAATTTTGTATTAGAAAAGAATATGTCTTTGTGAAAAATGTAGGTTCATTTGCTCTGGATATAAAAAAATAAATGCAAAAGGTCAGAAAATCCCATGTTATTTAAATGGGAAAAGTATCATGATTCCGGCACGGTTTAAATTAAAAATTAAGAGCTTATTTACGTTGGATAATTTTTTTAGAGCAAAAACTAAAATTTCAGAGGGCGGCAACAAAAAAATTAACTTGGGAAATAACGGACACCCCAATAAATATACAGGGTTGAAAAAATAAGTGAGAAAAATTGTGGGAAAAGGAAAAAAGAGTGTTTCATAACAAATACGAAAAATTTTAAAGAACGACACCTTGTTAAAAATAAATGGTAGTTTGTTCTACAAGTCTGCTTGAGTCAAAAGTTAACCATTAGAGAGGGTGGTCCGAATTATATTCGGGACATTTCGGTAGCATATTCTGCAGATAAAAATAAGTAAAAAAATCGTATAAATTTATATTTTAAAACGCTTAGTTTCTGAGATATAGGGTGTAAAATTTAATTTTTATTTCATTTTTTTTCCAAATAATTTTTAAAATAACGTCGATATTTGGGTGAAAATTGGTGTCTGGCTGTTTTGACATAAGAAATTTGATTATACACGTTTTTAAACTGTTTTGGAGAGTAATAACTTTTCGTCCGTACACCAGTAGTTAGTACAAGTTCCCAAATTTATCAAATAACCAATCATATAACGTCAAACCTATAAACCAATATCTATAACCTATAGCCAATCAAAATAACTAATCATATATCGTCCTATTGCTGCCAAAAGTCACTAACTAACATTTTTTTCTAACAAATCGATTGCAAAAGTCATTAACTAAGATTTCTGGCTATTTATATTTTATTTTAATACCGAATAGTTAAAAAAATAAAAACACTAAATCACCACAATACACCAAAACACTTTTACTTTTACACTGGACGCGCGTTTCGCTAACCATGTTAGCATCATCAGCAGATGATTATAAACTAAAGTACAATCTACAAGGTGAGCGTTTATATACTCGCTCAGTGGGCCCCGAGTGGGCGTGGCAAAATCTAGCCAACCGAGTCAGAGCCAACTGAGCGTAACAGTTAGATTTCCGCCACTAGAGTAGTAGGAACAAAGAACTTGAAGGAATTGGACCGTTGACTCTGTTCATACTATCTTTACATTTATTAATTCTGATGCTTTCATATGCATCTAATTGCCCGTAATTTGAGACTTGTTTAATTAATTTTAAATTATTAAGATCTATACAATGTTCATTATCAACAATATGTTCGGCAACGCAAGATTTATCCGGTCTACCATATCTTATCTGAGCTAAACGTTCTTTAAATCTAGTTAATATTGATCTTCTAGTTTGCCCAACATATTTCTGATTACAATCTTTACAAGAAATTTCATAAATACCCGACCTTTCCAGTGGAGGTGTTTTATCCTTTGTATTGCCTAATAATTGTTGTAATTTATTATTAGCACTATACACAAGTTTATAATTGACATTCTTAAAAATTACTTTTAGACCACAGGATAACTCTCTATCAAACGGTATCGAAAAATATTTAGACGTATCTTCCTCCACTTGAAAAGTCGAATTTTCAGGAAATCATTAAGCTATACCTACGTTTTCTAATTAATTTATCAACTAGTGAAGGAGAATATCCATTACACTCAGCTACATTCCTAATGTAATCTCTTTCTATTTCATTTCTTTCGTTGGAAAGTGGGAAACTAAGTAATCTATGAACTAAGAAATTTAAACTAGCCATTTTATGTTCAACACTATGATGTGATTCATTAGGAATATATCAGCGTGTGGTATTTTTCCTATAGATATCAAATTCCACGCAATTATTAGTATTTCTAATAACTAATACATCTAGAAATGGTAATCTGTCGTTGTTCTCAATTTCATGCGTAAATTTAATGGAAGGAAAACGATTATTTAACTTAGAAATAAAATTATCTATGGTGTCTCAATGTGTGTCAAAAACAACAAAAATATCATCCACATACCTAACCCATACTCTTGGAAAATACTTAAACTGATTCTTAGCTTCCACTTCAAACCTGCTCATGAATAAATTAGCCAAAAATGGAGACAATGGATTACCCATTGCTGTACCTTCCCGCTGTTCAAAAAAGTTGTTATTAAATTGAAAACAGTTTTGTTTCATACATAACGATGTAAGCTCAATATATTCAATCACAGTTTTGTTGTCGAGACCATTTGCGTTCAGTAATTCCTTCAAATAGCCTAAAGTATGTGGAATTGGAGCACTTGGGAACAACGAAGATACATCAAAGGAGACCAAAATTTCACCTTCATGCAATGTTATATCTTTAATTTTGTTAATGAATTCAATATTATTTTTAACTGAGAAAGAAGGTTCATGATCAGGTAAATTTTCAAACTCCCTTGATAACCATTTTGCCAAATTATAAGTCGGAGAACCTACAGCCGAAACAATTGGGCGCATAGACTTGTCCGGTTTATGAATTTTTGGCAAAGCATACAATTTTGGTAATGAGGGATTGGATACTTGCAATTTCCTCTTTAAAGAAAGATCAATAAGGGTGTTACATTCTTTTAGAGTTTTTTTAACGTCTGCTACCATCTTCGGCAAGGGATTCTTTTTCAAATTTATGTAGGGGCCATTATCGATTAAGTTGTTAACCTTATCGTAATAGTCTTTTTTATCTAATATAACAACCTTATTTCCCTTATCAGCTTTTAGATAGAAACAATCTTTGTTACGCAAACTCTTGACAATATTGTGCTCTTTGTTAGATTTTAATGAATTACTTGAAACAATATTTTTTGATAACTGATTTCTACAAGCCTCTCTTGTAAATACTTTAGAAGCCTCGGGCAAGTGCTGAATAGCAGTTTCAACACCAACGACGATTTCCTCCAAAGCGCTACCAGAGTTGGGCAATGCATACTTTAAACCTTTGTTTAATAAACTAAGTTAAATAATCGTTTTCCTTCCATTAAATTTACGCATGAAATTGAGAACAACGACAGATTACCATTTCTAGATATATTAGTTATTAGAAATACTAATAATTGCATGGAATTTGATATCTATAGGAAAAATACGACCACACGCAGATATATTCCTAATGAATCACATCATAGTGTTGAACATAAAATGGCTAGTTTAAATTTCTTAGTTCATAGATTACTTAGTTTCCCACTTTCCAACGAAAGATATGAAATAGAAAGAGATTACATTAGGAATGTAGCTGAGTGTAATGGATATTCTCCTTCACTAGTTGATAAATTAATTAGAAAACGTAGGTATAGGTTAATGATTTCTGAAAATTCGACTTTTCAAGCGGAGAAAGATACGTCTAAATATTTTTCGATACCGTTTGATAGAGAGTTACCCCGTGGTCTAAAAGGAATTTTTAAGAATGTCAATTATAAACTTGTGTTTAGTGCTAAGAATAAATTACAACAATTATTAGGTAATCCAAAAGATAAAACACCTCCACTGGAAAGGTCGGGTATTTATGAAATTTCGTGTAAAGATTGTAATCAGAAATATGTTGGGCAAACTAGAAGATCAATATTAACTAGATTTAAAGAACATTTAGCTCAGATAAGATATGGTAGACCGGATAAATCTTGCGTTGCCGAACATATTGTTGATAATGAACATTGTATAGATCTTAATAATTTAAAATTAATTAAACAATTACGCCCAGCTGGCTCTGACTCGGTTGGCTAGATTTCCTGCCACGCCCACTGGGGCCCACTGAGCGAGTATATAAACGCTCACCTTGTAGATTGTACTTTAGTTTATAATCATCTGCTGATGATGCTAACATGGTTAGCGAAACGCGCGTCCAGTGTAAAAGTAGAAGTGTTTTGGTGTATTGTGGTGATTTAGTGTTTTTATTTTGCTGTGTAACACCAAAGGTTCCAACCCTCAACTGTAATCTCCGAATAGTTACTAACTATAACATCTTTATGCAATGCAATTCATCTTTAGACGCATTTTTCTCGGATGTAATAAAAAGGAAGTTAGTGACTTTTGGCAGCAATGGGACGATATGTCAAATAACCATCCGGAAAACATGCATAGATAAATGAAACAAGTTTAGATTGGAAAGTGCCAATGAAAGGACAATGTAAACACTATTTGGCGCTATCCTTGCAACGGTCGCGACCCAAAACTTTTGAAAATTTCGGAGCGGTTCGGCTTTTTCCGGAAAATTTCCGCCAAATATTGTTTATTCAAATTTATTATTATTTTCGTTTAATTTTATAAATAAAAGACAGTGTGTTGCATACACAAGAAACTTTATTTTATATAAGGACGCATGTAGGAAATACCTATGAAACATTGGAAACCGACGTTATGCCACGATCCACGATGGTTTTTGCAGTTCACAGTTCACAGCACAGCTTTTTAAGTTTTCAATGTCACTTTTTCACAATTATCACCGGTTGGAGTAAATAAAACTTGAATTAAACTCACAAGATAGTAATTATTACTTTGAAAATGGACGCTATAAACACTTTTCGGAATTTCTTTAATGAGAGCGGTTTGGATTTTGAAAGATATTATGATTTTTGAAGACTTTGACAAGAGAAAATTATTTCTGTTTTTGTTTGCCGTTGTTCTTAGCGACCGCTATAGCAGCGCCAGATCGCGTATAACGGTCGCGATCCAAAATAATTTCGCGACCTAAAATTTTTACGGGCTTTCCAATCTAAACTTGTTGCATTTATCTATGAAAACATGTTTGTTTTTGGTCAGTGATGACGTATTGATAATTTCAGTTCTAAATATCAAAATATCTTGAGAACGGTTGCTCGCAGCGATTTATACCAGAGAGATTTTTTGCGTAAAAAACGGCGGAAATGTATATTTGTTCACTCAGTAGTTTAATACAGGTTTGGACAACAAGTTATTATTTTTCAAAATAGTTCAAAAACATGTAGATGGGGCCCCCTATAGGGAGGAGTCATATTGACATCAAAATCAAATAGCTTATGCCAAAAAACACCCAGACACCAATTTTCATCCAAATATCAACCTTAGTTCAGAACTAATTTGGAAAATTTCATTTTTATCGGTCGAAATAAAAATGAAACTCCTACACCCTGTTTCTCCAAAACTAAGCATTTTAGGACATACATTTATAAGAAATTTTTATTTATTTTTATCTCCCGAATATGCGGCCGAAGTTTCCCGAATACTATTCGGACCACCCTGTATAAGACGGCTGAAAAAGTATTTTATTGTTATCCTTAAAAAAATGATAGAATATTAAAATTTTATGCATGTTTTTTCACTTCTTTACGATGAGTGGAAGGGGTTAAAAAAGGCTCACTTATTTTTGTTAATGAAACTTGAAGAATCTTTCAAAGAATCGCCTTTAAATATATAGGACGCAGTATATATATATATATATATATATATATATATATATATATATATATATATATATATATATATATATATATATATATATATATATTGTTTTCAGGATGGCATATCCCTAGTTATTTGCTAGTACAGGGTGAACCAAATTCAAATCAACGTTAACCAAAAGTGGGCGAACCAAATTCACACATTATTATCGACAATTCTTAAAAGCGGTTGAGAGAAAAAAGTTGATATTTAATATTTAGTCTGCGGCTATAATGGTAGAGGATGTTCAAACAGCTAAACCACTTGGAATATTTTACTATATTTCTCTCGATATTTATGTATTTTTTTATTCCTTCACTATTTAGAACTATTTAGAACTAAAAAACTACACATTTTATTATAAATTAGTTAATTTGGTAATTTTTTAACATATTTTTCTCTAAACAGGACACTTAACAAGAAAAATATAAAATTCACTATTCATACTCCTAATAAAACTGCATATAAAATTTATGGAGACTGTATATTTTAGTGCATTGTGTAAGCAAATAACAACACAGGGAAACGCCAAACCGAAAAATATTACATAAAAATTCCCCTTTATTTTTCAGAAAACAACGATCTAATTTTTTTGACCCTTAATTATTTACACCCTGTATAATATAACTATTTGGCAAAATTTACTTTTTTCGAGTTTTGCAGGTTCTTCTGGGGTTGAGTTGTTTGTAAGATGTCGCCTACACTGTGCGTTAAAAGCTTGGAAAGTGCGTAGGGTACTCAATGGTCGTACCTATAAATTATAAAAAGAATTTGCATTCCAAAGTGACACTGATTTAGTAATGAAACAACTAGTCTGATTCACGAAAGATAACCATTGTATCATACTGTATACTGTAACGAAATAATGAACGTGTGATGACAAAATTCAGTTATTGCCACAAATCTACAATATAATAGTATTTTCTTCCAATAATATTTCATTGAACTAGCGCAACAGGCTCATTAATACAACGTGCGGCACTAGCTGCACTCGGTGCAAAAAGTGCCAACTGGTCTTCGATGGTATTTAAAAAATTGACTAAATTTACCAATGGTTTTTAAAGATTGCACTAGTGGCGCATCAGTGCTGCACTGATTTACCAATGGTATTCGTCAGGAAACTCGTTACCACACCGCGCACCGCAAAGATAGTTTTCGTTATAGTTTTTTTTATCTTCATCTTCTCCAAGGAGATGCAAGATCTTGTCGTGGGTGGGGAAATGCTCCTAGTTAGGTACTGGGGGAATCACCTCTAGAACTTTGACTTGGTCTAAGAAGCATCTCACTGTCTGGTTCCTGGCAGTAGTGTCGTGGCCAGGGAATTGCACCAAGACATATAACGATGCCGGACGGGTCTATTCTGTCCGTCATACCAGGTACCATCTACTGTCTGTGGTCATGCCTCACGGTTAGATGGTTTGGGGGGGGGGGGCGTCTTGGACCAAGAGGAAGGACCTCACCAAAAACCTAAATCCTACTATGGCGGGACTAGGTCAAAGGGATGCGTGGCTAGATAGAAAACTAGCCTCTACTGGTCTTAACATTGAATACCCGGAGGCCCCTGTGTATTTACTCCTTACTTCTACATGCGGGGCTCTGTAGAAGTGGACCGATTATCCCTAGCGACTCGTGGGAACACTATCAGATTTAGTATTAAAAACACCACCGGTAAAGTTGTGGGGAAACCCCCTAGTGACACTGAGAACATTAACAATGAAAGTTCCAAGGAACCAAACCCAAAAGGAACTATAGGAGAGGCGGCTGACGCGAGATCATCCTCCACAAGAGACACACCAGCTACCACCTCCCCCAGGAATGTTCGGGAGTCTACCTCTAGACCCAATAAGCGACACAAGCTACCGTTTCGTCTACCCGGCCTGGGTCAACCAGGCGGGCTAGACGATCCTCTGAGTGTAGGTCTTAGCGGAGCAGAAGCACGGAGATACCTCCGACTGCTCCACGAGGGACTTGCTCCAGAGGAAACAAAAGCAAAAGTACTCCTCAAAAAAGGGAAGGGTAAAGGAACCAAGAAACGGTCTGGCGCATCTCCACTAAAGGGCAAGAGAGGAACCTCTCACCTCTGCTCCGGCAAGGAGAAAAAAGCCAGGATGGAAAGCCGTCCAACACCGGGAGGCAAGCAGGGGCGTATCACCAGCTTTGCCGCTATTGCTGGACAAGTGAAAATGGCGGTGCTGCCAAAGGATTACCCAGAGGCAGCACTGACCACCGACCTGCAAACGGCTCTAGAAAAGGGGATATTGGACGGAGTGGCGACCGGATCGCAACACAACGATCTAAAAAATGTAGGCCAGCTGCGTTTTGCGGGGATACACTTTCGGAGGGCCATGATCCTCATAGATTGTGTATCTCAAGAATCGGCGGATTGGTTGGTGGAAATCGCACCTAAGCTTAAAAATTTGCAAGGGCCGGGACTGATTGCAGCGAAAGGGACGATCATCACGGTCTTTCTACCGAGGAGCAAGGGGAAAGATACCACATATGTACCTGCTGGGCCTTTTCCAGGCTCAGAACTCCAAAGTAAGGACACTGAGTTGGCGAGTCATCAACTCGAGGGAGGAGGCTCATAGTCAGGTCCTCGCAATATGAATTGACCCCAAGTCCAAGGATGCAATAGAAAAAGAGGGATATGTCCTTTATTATAGTTGCTGGACAACACCGGTATCATGTCTAAGGAGAGACCAAGTTAAACAGGCGGACAAAAAGGAGAGAGATCCTCCAGCCTCCACCTCACGGGTACCTCAGCCGGAGGCAAGCTCCTAAACTGTAATGAGCACGAAGGGCCAAACTGCAACCGTGGAAGGGTGTATACCCCCGGAAGGACATCTGTTGTCAGAGCAGGGTGGGAAATACCATGTCTCCCCATGTATAATGGGTTATAGACTGTATGATGAGTTATTACTTATGTAAGGGAGCGCAATAGATCTTTAAGGTCGCAGTGATTAAGCCCCCTCTAACTCGCTTTCACCCGGAAAATGCAAAAAACTGCTTTTGAGTGACTTTGGCCTCTAACTTTCTTCCCGCAAGTTCCGTTTTAGAGGTTTGTTACTTGAGATGAAACTGTAGAGAATATAATTCTCTTCATGTTTTGTTCCATAAAATTGTGGGACCTACGGTTCAGCCAAAAAATCAAATCTAATTTTTTTTTGAGTTTCTCAAAAACAGTGGGGCGGGGGGATACGAATTTTCGAATTTAAGCTTATCCAGTGGACCACTTACGATTGGCAAAGAATGGGAGCGGGGGTAATTTGAAGGGAGTCTACATCTTTTTTGATGCCAGATTGACTGTACTACAGCTATGAAGTGTTTTTTTTAAGTTTTATGCATACATATTAGGTATACTAATTGCAGTAAAGTTTTAATGTATTTTAGAAAAGGTTTGGCATTTCTATTTAAAAAAAAAATGTGCTTAAATTTTTAGTTTGGGTTGGAATCAATAAAATTATTAAACAATTACAAAAAAAAAATATTTCATCAATCTGGATTCTTTACTAATTCAGGGGTAGTAGTTTCAATATGTGTCTGAATTGTTCTACTGTATATACATTTTTAACTATTCCAATGGTAAATTCGGCCAGAGATTAGTGGAACTCACATAAAGCTAGAAGCGATTTTAATTTTCAGTCATGAAAGCAAATTTTGATTTTCGGTCAAATAAAAGATGTATCATTGCGATAAAAAAAAGTAGTACAAGAATTAGTAGTCCCAGATAGAACTCCTGGTCGATAAGGATATCGAGAAGTGGATATCGTATATATAATACAATTATGTCACCTAACTTTTTAGACATTACCATGAATTTGGTAATAATTGATAGGTATACGTGGCGAAACAAAGTATAAAAAATTTACCTACCTTTTAAAAATGGGCAATTTTTAATATTTTATTAGAGACCAGCACATTAAATCATATTTTGCTGTACTACTTTTTTTTTATCGCAATGGTACCGTGTGATTGAAGATTTATGACTTTGACAGTTTGAAATTGCTATAAATCCCATTATTCTCTATATGAATTGTTTATTTGTCATCACCCAAATCATTCGTTTTCATATTTTTTGAGCATACTGTATATCTGTTTTAAGCTATGTAAAGCTAAAGTACGTAAAAAAAACGTCGTCCAGTTGGCTTGGAATTGAAAATCGATGATATATCCCATATACTTTAATATATAAAATGACAGCGATCTTCATTTCATAGCCATCGCTGACGCCTTTTTTTTCGATAAAACGGTACAATATTTTTTAAAGTAAAAAAAACATTAGCAAAACTTGCACATATGATTACATTTGTTATTTTTTTCATAAATATTAATTTAAACATAAATAACAGACATTTTATTTCACAATATAAAAAAAATGTTATTAATAGACTGTCTATTGAGGAAGCCTTAATTTTTAATTATTTTAAATATAAATAAGACTAGAAATTCCCACCAAATGTTAACAAAACAATAGTCATATTTTTAAATCAAATTATTTTAAATAATAACCACGCTGCTCCTCTACTTACTTTGGTAAATGACATTTTAGAAGTAAAAAACAAATATAAAAAAACCTTATTAAAAGCACCGCACTGTGTATTATATTTTTATTGTTTAGTAGACTTTCCAAACTTTAAACAAAATAAATAATTTTCCCGATATCATGAACGTTAAAAAATTGAAAAACTTTTTTAGGTTAATAATTAATTTGACAATTGATTTGACATGTTAATGTCAATGTCAACAGATGTCAACCCAACTCAGACCATTGAATAAAATGGTTTGGCTTATATACCTACTTCCGTGCCTACTTCAGATTAAAAAATCAGGGATGGACACGGGGATGGATCAAACCAGGAAACATGCAGGAAAGCCAGTCACGAGCAGGGTTCGGAAGTAGTTAATTAAGACATGGTTAAAATGCACAATGTGATATCTGTTCTTCCTAAATCTATGATTAAGACGTAATTTACCTGATTAACTACGTGTAGTTTTTCTTCAAAAACTACGTCTTTTCCCGTTCATTAACTACATGAAAACTACGTTAATAAACTATGTATTGATATTATGAATAATTTTCCTTTGTATGAGGTGTAATAGAGATAATATGATGTAGATATTATATTTAAAGCCATATTTCTTCTGTTTTCTCAAATACATTATGTGGTTTTAAAGCTTCAATTTATTATAACCTCACCTCAAACCGTTGATATTTGAAAGTTACATACATAGATTACATAAACTACACCCTCTACATAAACTACATTAACTATATGTAATGTAGTTTATATAGTTTTAAAAGTAACATGTAGTTTTCCGAACCTTGGTCAAAGCCTTGGTCACGAGTCACGTTTCCAAGTTCTAAAAGAATCTGTAGCTTTTTCAAAGGATCAAAAAACAGGTGTTGTTAATTTACTACACAGAATATACTACGAAAAATTTAGTATTTTCTAGCACATTCGAATAGTTCTGTTGACTTGGGATTTTTATAACGGGCACATCACTAGTATTAAACACAAACATAACCTGAATTATAAATTTGTTGTGCGTTGATTTTATGCCTCCTTGAAATCTTGGTTCAGTGTTACAGTTTTTTATATATTTAGACATAAAAAACACAAATTAAAAATTTGTTCTTTATTTGGTATACCCTTTATTTTAATAAGTTTCTCGGTTTTAAATATATTAGCAATATAACTTCTGGAAGTAAAGCTGATTACAATGGGTAATTTTGATCTGCAAGTTCTATACTATGAAATATGGAACTGTTGAATTTATTTTTCAGATAGCATTTCTACTATACTAGACTTATCAAATAAGAAATTAAAAAAGTTAAACAAGCCTTCTGTTAAAGACAGTCAAGTAACAGAGTTAATTCTAGATGAAAACGAGTTACAAAGGTTGGATAATATTGATGCATTTGGAAAGTTGGAAAAGGTAATCTTGAAACTCAATATAATAATTTTAGAAAAATCGTCATTATTTTATGTGATCTAGTTATCAGCTTGTCATAATCAATTACTTCGTATGTATGGAGTTTGCAGATTACATAGTTTACAAGTTTTAAATTTAAGCGACAACGGGATCTTAACAATTGAAGGATTAAAAGAGCTAACAAATTTGAAGTGGTTGTGTCTTTCTAAAAATAGTATAAAGGTAAAACTTCTTTTATTTACTTTATGTGTCAGTAAACAATATTTTTTGTAGACTATTGAACATCTAAATAATAATCTAAATTTAGAACATTTGGATCTATCAGAAAATAGTATTACCCATATTTCTGACCTGTCGTTTTTAAGAAATCTGAAGGTAATTTTTTATAGAAATAAATAAGGTTTATGTTTTTTTTATTGAATTGAAATCTTGCTGGTATTGCAAATAGGTATAGATATCTTAAATATTTAAAGTTTTTTAGCAAATTGAGATAGAGGTAATATAGCACAAAGAATGAAAAATTACTTACATTTATTGTTAGTGAAGTGAAATAGGTATTAAAATGTTAACTGAATATTTTTAAGAGTCAATTGTATGGCATTTTTAAATATAATATTAAAAGTGTTTTTATTTTTTGTTTTATAAAATTTAATAAAATATAGCATAATGAAGATAAAAAACCTAGGTATTTTTGAGCTTTATAATTGCCAATACCAATATAATCTTATGTAGGTATATAATAATAATAACTAAATTTTGAAAAATTAAACTTTATAAAACAACAAAATATATAATTATACAGCGCGGAGGCTCCAAGGAGAACAGTAGTTTATATTGAAATGAAATGTTGGCAGCGTATGTAGATTAATTGAAAGCATGTTCTAAAAATATATAGTTTACAGGGTGTCCCTAAAGGAGTTACACTCAAAGTTGTTTTTTTTTGTAATGGAACACCCTATATATTAATCGATTTTCGGATTCAAGGAAAAAAATAAAGGTAAGTTTTATTAAAGAAGCATATATCTATAATGTAAGGATTTTGACATATTTATTTCACATTTTATGAAAATGAAGGGTAAATTTCAATAACAGCTACCTAAATTTTAATTGACCTTGTATAGCCTGATATTTAATTACAGTAACCATTGTAGGTTAAACCAAATTAAAATTTGAGCCAAAGAGTTATACAGGATGAGATAAAATTAATAATAATACATTAGATACTTTTAATAATAATAATGGAACATTAGATACTTTTAAAAGCAACTTACTCCTTTATTTTAAATAGAACACCCAGTATATTATTCCGGTGTTCAATGGGGAATTCATATATCTTCAAATCATTATTAAGTTTGCCTACCCCTCAGACAAAGATTTTCCTAGACATTTTGATTCTTATGATTTTCCATCAGTAGATCTTTATTATTTGAAAAAATCTAGATGGCTGTGATATACTTTTTGTTAATTTAACAAAAATTAAAGGATGTAGAGTAAAATAGTCAACCGTAATAAAAAGATACATGTAACATATTTTATTTATTACATAATTAAAACTAGCATTTTATTTATCTTCTTTTCTCTCATTCCAATCCAAACATAATTATTGTACCTATATTTAAAATTGACGATAAACTATTTTTTTTGTCGCCTCGTGGCCGTCGCGTTATCGGCTATAGTCAAAATAAAATAAAGCAAGTTTCGAGTATTTATTCAAAGCGGATCCTCAGATGCGTTTTGTTTTAGAGAGATTTGACTCTGCTGGATGTTGGATAATACCTACATTAATTATTTGAGTAAATATACATCCGGTAACATACCGGATGTATCTCAAAAGTGGTTCACCCCTATAACTTTATAATTTTTTTTTTCAGATAAAAAAACGAGATTTGGTATGTTAGTATATGACATAAATTAGGATTGATTGACGTATTCAATTGTTTTTGGTCACATCTTGTTTCAACGGAAATGAAGATGACAAGTTTTGATTTTTAAATGGTATATACCCTCGATATATTTTTACATTATTCGATAGAAAATGACACTCTGCATAGAATGAAAAATCATGTCAACTTTTGACATTTTCTCTTAAAAAAATCGTATTTAAATTTCAATCTAGAGTACCATGGCTACCATGGCTGTGTTAAAAATACTAATTAAATTAATCAAGGAGCCTTGGAAAAATAGATTTGATCGTCTAATGTTTTTCGTGTCTTGTCCTGGCCAGTTAAGAGTCCATTTCACTAGCCCGAAAAAGTAGCAAAATAAGCGTTCGATATTTAACGTTCTATGTAAAACTGGCTAGGTATTTTTACACAAATGAAGAAGGAAATTAAAGATAAAGAATTATACTATATCCGTATTGTAGCACATTTTTAGACAACTTCTTTATTTTTAAGATTTTGATGGTCAAACATCAACAAAATATTCCTTATGTTTGAACTAAATTTTCTCGAAAATAAAGACATAATTTAAAATTCCGTTACAATACGGAAATAGATTGAAGTTTTGTGATTACAGTGATATATAATTTATATGGTTTTGTAACAAATTGCTCGCAATTTTATGGCAAATGCTGAAGCTCTGCAAACCCTAATCAAGCCTTAATCAAAGCACACGTGTGTTTGGAATTTTGGGTGCCTTTTGGAAGCCCTAAGCAGATTTCTGAAATATAATATATATTTCTTTCGGCCACACACCCGCTTTACACGAGCTCTGAGAGCGACCCGAAAATACAGCGTAAAAGACTCTTAAAAGATGCCCATTCAGATTAGATAGATGATCATTCTATTCAGAGTATCATTTTCTATCGAATAAAGTAAAAAAAATACCAGGGTCTCATTTAAAAATCAAAAGTTATAAAAAATTTATAGGGGTGAGCCACTTTTGAGACGCACCTGGTACACATAATATTATGTAGGTATGGCAAAAAAAACTATGCCATTTTTATACATTTCGTTAAAAATAATTGGGCGGCAAATATTGAGTTGCACACGGGCGCCTAACACATTAACGGCGGCCCTGGTTAACATAAAATGATTGTCTTTTTGAAAAAATATTTTCATTTTAAAAAGCATATGTGTAGTTCTACTTCGAAAAGCCGCAACAATCATTTCTCTCATGTAATCGACAATAGCAACTTGGTCGAGTTTTGTAAACACTGTCTTTAACATATCCCCATAAAAAGCCCAGACTAGATAAAATCAGGAGCATTTAAGTATTCTATTAATTGGTGAATGCATATTGTATTCACCAACTAATAAAATCATATCAGTTCTCTCTGACGTAGATTTTATCAAATAATAAATATCTACTGACACTAAATAATATAAATGAAAATATCTAGGAAGATCTTTGTTTGAGGGGTAGGCAACCTTAATAGTATTTTGAAGAGACATAAATTCTCCGTTGAATATCGGAATAATACAGTGGGTGTTCCATTTAAAATAACAGAGTAAAATACTTTTGAAGGTAACCAATGTTCAATATTAATTTTGTCTCACACTGTATAACTTTTTGGATCAAGTTTTAATTCGATTTAAAGTACAATAGTTAATTTAACTACATATTAGGCTATACCGGGTAAGTACATTTGGTATATTTCATTTTTCCAGTTTCCTATACCTAATCTCTTAGAGTTTTTCTGAGATCAAAAAATCGTATGTGCACTATGTGAGCATATTTGAAGTGAAACTTCGTACTAACAGCTATTAAGTTGAAGGATTTGAAGGACATGTTTGAAAAAGTATAGTTTGAAATGTTGAAAGAGTAATAAATTAAAAATTAATAAATAATTTGATTCGCTTTCAAAAAATTTGTATTAGTGTTGCACAAGACAAGAATTCTTGTCTTGAAAATCCCCCAATTTCTTGTCTTGTCTTGAAATTCAAGACAAGACATTTTCAAAGAGTCTTGTCTTGCAGATTTCTTGAATGGCAACCTCTTGTCTTGCCTTGCAAGACACTTGAAATTTCTTGCAATACTCTTAAAATTTTACATTCTAACAAAAAGGTAATAATATTTCTATATTTTATTTCGTAGAAAGCGTCCTATACAAAATGTAATACGGAAAAATTACAGTTGAGGGTTGGAACCTTTGGTGTTACACAGCAAAATAAAAACACTAAATCACCACAATAATGCTCAGTTTATAATCATCTGCTGATGATGCTAACATGGTTAGCGAAACGCGCGTCCAGTGTAAAAGTAAAAGTGTTTTGGTGTATTGTGGTGATTTAGTGTTTTTATTTTACGGAAAAATTAACAACGATGCTAATTTTAGCAAAAAAAAAATCTTAACGGACCGCCAACGAACTACGTCAACTCGCCCGTTTGACGAAACAGGAGCCATTACCAAATAAAAGCTGAATAAGAATAATTAAGGTTAAGTTCGATTTATGGCTTTTGGGTTATTATTTCGTACCTAACCTTGTGCGTTAAGTTATTTAAGTATTACTCACTACCAAAAAAAGTTTTAATATGAAATATGAGCAGTATAAATAATATAAGTGTCGATAGTGAACACACAGGGCGTGTTCCGTACATGGGTGTAAGGAAAGGTCATGCTAGAGTGTACTATTTGCGCTATTTGATACTACTTTTTGTTCGCGGAGCAATTTCGTGCATGAAAAGTAGTACCAAATAGCGCAAATAGCGTGCTTCACGAACCCACCATTAATTTCAACTACCGTTAGTTTTTTTTTTATAATACCATTATACCAATATAATTTTCTGTATAATACCAATTACCAATATACGCCATACGGTTTGTTGCCTCGACTTTATTTTATTACATTCTCAACTCTAAAACACTGGCTATGATAGAAAAAAAAAAAATGAACACTGGTCAATATTAATGCCGGGTTTATACAACATTTGCGTAAGTCGTAATCATAATCACAGTCTAATCATCGTCATAATCACAACGCAATTTTAATGTGCGTTTATAGAACATTTTCATAATCATAATTTTTATATCAATGAAGTTGGGTAACATAATTAAAGGCTAAGTTCATGGTAGATGTCAATAGGTTTATGTGGATAGTGGATAGTTTAACTTTTATGATTATGACTATGATTGTGATTACGACTATGTAAATGTTGTATAAACCCGGCATAACTTGCGCAAAAACCTAATTATCACTTAAAAAAATGTATCATTTCTAACTTTTAAGAAATCTTGAATTCAAGAAATCTTGCAAGACTCTTAAATTTCTTGCATATTAAAGTCTTGTCTTGTCTTGAATTCCTTGCAAGAGTCTTGATCTTGCAAGACTTTTTCAAGACTCTTGTGCAACACTAATTTGTATTAAAATGACCATCGGTCCGTCTGAGGACTCCGTTTGGGTCCACGTGCCCAGTTTGGTTCCAATCGACCCATAATTAAGAAAAATCCCTATGATTTCGTCCATTTAGAGACATCGGTTCGAAATGTCGAGGGCGTCATCCTGTAGCCCGTCCCCAATTATGCCGAAATCGATCCACATTTTTCTTCGCAAGATTTGTTCCGCCTTTCATTAATATCTGCGTTAGTGGACTACCGCGGAAAAATATCGGATATGTGGCAGTTCCGATTATTGTGAGTTCTAACTTGATAAAAGATCAGATATGCGCGTTTGTGAATATCAAAATATCTGTACTCGAAACGGTTCGGAGGAGACGGAATGTCATATCTGAACTGCGGGACCGATTGGTTAAAAATCCCTTGCGTGTATGTGTGGCTGTTCATAATATAATCGATAATTATACTATGATCTGTGTATACTGGCAAGATTTCAATTCAAATCAACTTTGCAATTGAAGACTACACGGGAAAAACCAGCTTTGTCCATTTTCATTGGAGCGGAGAAAAATGCAATTTAGTGTTAGCATCTTATCCCCATTCATTAATTTTTAAAGAAATATATTATTTACGATTGAATAAATAGGAAAATGTATATTTCTACTAATTCTGAATTATTAATATTGTTAATTAACGCGATATTCTGAGATACCGATATAAAAATGTCAAAATGCAAAACAAAACGGGAAAAACCAGTGATGTCCAATTAAAGGTTGTATAAAACCTAAATCTAAACTATTATTGTTTTGTTGTAGGAAGAACATTAGATTGAATATTTAACTAAGTTTTCATTAGAATACATAAATTTGCTACATGTAATACATACTAACTCCAAGATGCATGCTTGTCACCCATTCGTAAAGGACATCTCTAATTTTTACCATTTACGCGTGGACTACTCTGGTTTTTACTTTGTACGGCAAAATAACCAAGCTGTAATATCTTTGGGACTAAGCGTATTATTGTTTTCTTTGATGGTGCCTCAAATAACGCTAATATTTGCCTATAAAGTTGTGTCGCTATCTTAATTTCTATGAAAATGTGACATATCTGTTTTTTCCCGTGTAGTCAATTCTAGAAATATTTCTTAATAACAAACTAATAAGTTGCGTAACTAACTATTGACAATAATTTTAGGAGCTGTATCTACATAAAAATAAAATTAACCATCTTGGCCAGTGTGATCGTTTCCTGCCTGTTAGTTTAACATTGTTAACATTAGCAAATAATAATATTGCGGATCTGAATGAGATCTCTAGACTTTCTCATCTGCTTCAACTAAATAAAATCTCAATAGCTGGTAATCCTTGTGTAAATATGACTAGTAACAATATGTATCCTTTTTGGCATGTATGTTTGTTTTAAATTGTGGTAATAACGGTTTTTGCTAATCAGCAATAATATACATTATTTAAATAATATTTTTTTTATAATATCAAATACTGAAATGCTGTAGGTATTTCTAAATATTTAGTGTTATAGATAAAAAAAAGATTAAATAGGCCTGATATAATATTAATAATAAAGACATTATAAAGGGTAATTCTCAACAGATTGATTAAATATTCAAGATCTTTCAGTTTTAAATTATTTACTGTCTTATTTTTATATCCTAAGGCAAAAGAATATAGCCTTGGTGCATTCTTCGCCGGTGCTGCCACCATCGGAGAAAATCGTAAACAACTAATATATACAAATACACGGTTTAAATAGCGAGTATACGAAAAATTTATTATATAGTTATTCTAAAAGTGTTAGGAAGTATAAATTCTAAAAATTCTAAAAATAAAAACAAAAAAGTAAATATTTAGATTACTTCAGAAGGTCTAACTTGTATTATAATTTATTATTCCAGTTAAAAAAAACTTTTTAGATGCGTTCAACTACGGTAGCAAGCATAGTTTTAATCACCGGTTTTGCTAGTGAGGTATAATTCGGCCATAACGAATTTTTTTAAAGGTACATAACTATAATTTTAGAAGATGTTTATAAAACATTTTATTACTAGTTGATTAAAAAAAGTATACCATTAATATTGCAAATTATATTTTATCTTTTCATAGTATATGTCTATTTAATTTTTTGATTATGTAACTGCTTAAATTCATTTTTGCTTTTGATCAAATCGGTGTAAGAAACTATGAAGCTATAAAATGTTGTTTCGGGAGAGTTGAGTTATTGAATGTTATTGTACCCAACAACGCCTTAATTACGCTTTCCTTTACGTGTTAACATTTTTTCGGCAATTTTATTAACATTAGAAATTGGCACAACACAACACGACGCACGACGCCTAGTTCGAATTCTTTTTCACTTATTTTTTACTACCCGAAACAGCGTTACATCACACAAATCTCGTACCTGAGTGTTTTATAGTTTCAGTAACTGTACTAGCAAAACAACAAAATACTTAAATATTATGACAAAATCACGATTTCAATATTTTAATGCGATCAACATGACGGCGCGCGGCGCGGCGGCATAGTCGTATAGTCCTATATTTACCAATAATACAGTTTGAAAAATTTGCTATTACCTGCAATGTCTTTAGCAAATTCGCTCTTGTTGTATCGAGTATGTCACGTTAAAATGGCATTTCAATTTATTTCATCTTAGGATCGCTTGCGTTCGTAGCTCGTAACTTGCATAGGTCGTTCATAATCGAGCGATTTCGGTTGTTTTAATTATCGAGATATTATCATCCATTACCATCATACCAGGACTAGAAAATAGGCCTAAAAACAAAAAATACAATACCTTTTGACGAAAATTTTTTCCGTTTTTTTTACATCTGAGTGTAATAACGATATTTTTCGAAATAACTAACGATTTTTCTTTGTAACCCCAACCAATTACTGTTACCTTTTAAGCATCTTACCAAATGCGCCACTTGATTGACATTTCTTGAAAATTAATTAGCAAACTATTTTGAGACCCGCTGGCATCAACTGGCAATCAGCCGGCTCTCTAAGACATATCTGACATTATACGATAAATGGTTGCAAGTTGACGAATTTCATGCCCTCAATTGCTCTAAAAAATACCATAGAAGTTATTAGTATTTTTATTTTGTGGGATGGATCACATTTTCAGAAAAAGCCTCATATATTTGTAATTAGTATTTTTAAGCCTCATTCATTTGTTTGGTACAATAGCTTACATCTAAGACTGGTGTTAATTAATTTCCTTACCTAAAGATATAGTGGCTTTGATTATCGACCTTTTGTAATTAACTGGTGTCTAAATGTTAATGTTATTGATGATTATGTAGTTGATGCAATTGAAAGGTAGGACTTTGTACTTGATTTTGTACTATTGTATTACTTTATATCTATTTTAAGCTTAAGAGCTGAATGGCTGTATTCACAAGGTCGAGGAAGGCATTTTAGAATCGGCGATCAGTCGGAATTGACACAGTATTTGGCGACAGTTTGTCCATTAACTGGTGAAACTTTAGAGACAGAAGAAGATAGAAAATTAAGACTTATATTAAGTAAAGCACAACATCATCAGCAACAGCTTCGGGAGCAATCGTCAAACTGTAAGACGTACACAGTAAATTACTCTTAAAGAGATTTTAACTTCATTTCATAGTAGGTTCACTTCAACAATCTCCGATTACGCGGAAGAAAATGCAACAAACTAGAAGTTCTCTAAAACTCAATAGGGCATCTCCAGATAGGATGTCAACTAGTTGTTATAACTCACTTGTTGACGATAATGATAAAGCTAGTTTAATGTCACAAAGCATGGATCCTTCAATACTTCTTCAAAATATAGCTTCTCAGAGTATGTCCAAAGGTTTTCCTGAGAAATGTTTGAAGGAAGCTTTTTATGGTAAAATAAATATTTTCGATTAGGAATCAAATTCCACATTACTTGTTCTTGTAGATACTGAACCTATAAATAGTCCTTTACAAGCTGTAACTAAGATGGTACCAGTACCAGAAACTTTGATGAGTCCCGATTATAAACCAACGCCTATTATCGAAAGAATTGGAAAAACTCTGATTCCCACCAGTTCATCGGTAACACCAGATTCAACAAATATTCGTTTATTAAAACAAAATCGAGATTCTACAACTTCTCGTCAAGATCAGTTACAGAGTCAGTCACAATTAAAAGTGGAGAAATCTCCATCCACACCGAAACAACACAAAAGAAAAAGCACCAATATAAGGTATGTTACTTTACTGTCTTGCTATTGTGTACTAATATATTTTTTTAAGCAGCAATAAGCAAGATTTTAATAAAAAATCAATTTTGCATAAACAATCCAGTAGTGAAGACGAATCAGAAATATACGATTCTAAACTTCAAATGATTCAAATAAGAGCCGAAGAAAAACGGTAAGTTTCAAATTCCATACTCTTTTTGTTTAGGTAATTAAATATTATCGCGCAGCCATAACAATAACTTTCCACTTTGTTGTTTTGTATGTCTGTTGTATCTATGAAATGAAGATCGCTGTCATTTCATATGTAAATTTATATGAGAAATGTCATCAATCGTCATTTCTCAGCCAACTGGACGCCGTATTTTTTTCGATCATATACGGGTGGTCCGAACTGTATTCCGGAAACTTCGGCAGTATATTCTTCAGAGAAAAATAAGTTAAAAAGTTCGTATAAATGTATACAGGGTGCTACAAATTCGAGGTGCGAGCATTGGTATCTCGGTAACCGTAATAGATACGAAGATGGTTAAATGATGCAAAGTTGCGCTTTAGGATGTTCACCAACATGCTATCAAAAAAGTTTCAAAAATTTCAAGGATTGCTGCGTTTTTTGGGAAAAACAGATTTTTTTGAAAATCAATTTTATTTTTTCCTGTCGTTAGTTTTTAGTAAATCAAAAAACTAGTTGCACATTCTCATAGCCACTTTATTAGGGCTATCTGATAGTATTTTTAGATTTTCAAATTAACTGATAATTTGTAAGATACAGAGGCTAACTTAATTTTTTTAAATACGGACCTGCATTTTTTATTTCAGATTTTGAAAGAACTCGGTCTCCTGAGTACAATGATAGGCTACACTTAATTTTTTTTTTGTTTCGTAACACTGATATTTCAAATTCACAATAAAAAAAGTTAAAAATAATATTTTTATATTTCTGACCTGGATATTATTTATTTGTATCTTCCAATTGGCTCGATTTTTCTTGAATGTTAATTAGCGCTGATCAATATTGTTGCAATGAATATAATCAGATTAAATAATTTAAGAAACTAGAGTCGGACTTGAAATTATTGTAAATTATAAATAAATAGTTTTGTTGCTGTTAAGACCCAAAACGAAAAAAAAATATATAAAGTGTGGCATATCATTGTACTCAGGAGACCGAGTTCTTTCAAAATCTGAAATAAAAAATGCAGGTCCATATTTAAAAAAATTAAGTTGGCCTCTGTATCTTTCAAATTATCAGTTAATTTGAAAATCTAAAAATACTGTCAGATACCCCTAATAAAGTGGCTATGAGATTGTTCAACTAATTTTTTGATTTTCTAAAAACTAACGACAGGAAAAAATAAAATTTATTTAAAAAAAAATCCAATTTTCTCAAAAAACTTAGCAATCCTTAAAATTTTTGAAACTTTTTTGATAGCATATTGGCGAAGATCCTAAGGCGCAACTTTGCCCCAATTTAACCATCTTCATATCTACGGTTTCCGAGATACCAATGCTCGTACCTCGAATTTGTAGCACCCTGTATATTCGCCAATCGGAACGATTTGCTAATCGGAATAGGTCGTAACAATTAGCTGTCCCGGTTAAAGAGATTACATTGTATTTACATACATCAATGATGTTGTAGGATGCAGAAAAATATTGATAATAGCAACAAGGATAATATTCAGCAGGCCGCTATTTGCATTCAAAGAATGTGGCGGGGATATTATGCAAGAAACAAAAATAAAGACGTGCAAGAAATTTATAAAACTTTACAGAATGATAGATCGAACCAGTTTATACAGAAACTCACTCAGGATATGGAAACGACGAAAGCCGCTCTGGAAAGCGAAAGAAAAATTCAAATGTTGCAAACCGAAGCTATTACTGCATTGTGGAAAAAAATGTCAACATTAAATACCGAAGAGAACTCTGGTAGTAATGTTAGCTTGACAAATTTAACGAATAATCCGGATGTAGTGAAGGAACTGGTGCATACTTGTTCTCTTTTACAGAATCAGGTAATAATTTACATATCTGTACCCTAGAAGCAACCTATGTTAAGTCCAATATTGGCATATTTAATATATGTATACAGGGTGTCCCAGGCTGAGCGTGCATTAGAAGTTTCTAGAGAACTACAATAACTAGATCGGAGATTTTTTGCACATCGTTGTTTCACAATGAGATATATCGATTAAAAATATTTTACATATGGCGGCACTTCCGGAAAAACCGGAAGTTGACAGCAACTTTCTTATTTTAAATGGGTACCCCAGTTTATTACATGCTTAAATTCTCTGTAAAATTTTATGAATTTTGATATGGAACACTCTATACCTAACATTAACTGTTTTTGGGGAAAAAATATTTAAAATTTTTGGAGGAAAAAAACGGCCTGTCAAAAAAATTTGTATAGATTAAACGTCAAATTCAGTGATTACCACAGCCGTTGGGGTTCAAAAATTAAATTGTTTGAATGTCATATAATAGCGGCTGTAGCTGTTATGGAATTGAGGGATTAAAAAACAATCATAAATCATTTTTTTTCAAATGGAAACCTACTTGTCACTAGTGGAAAGGCTTTTTAATTCGTTACTTTTTAATTATACACGTTCCTATACCTAAAATAAATCGTTTTTAAGTTAATTAAGATTTAGTTTTAAATCCTATATTTTTCTGTTTTTTAAACAGTAGCCTATTACTTTAAATGTCAAGCCATGTAAAACTATATCTGTCTATGTCATATTGCCATTAGAGATCACTAAAATAGGAGATGTATTTGCATAAAATCACTTTATAAAGTTTTAGCAGCAGTATTTATAATATACGAAATTCAAATAATTAGTTTTGTCACAGAAGGAAATAAATTGTCTAATGGTTTGACACTTAATGTAGGAAGCTAGATAAAATCAAGAAAAAAATACGCTACTAATATTTATTTTAGGTATAGGAACATGTAAAAAGTAACGAATTGAAAAACCTTTTCACTAGTGAAATAAAAAAGTTGGTTCCTATTTAAAAAAATGAACTATTAAATTTGTTTAATCTCTCAATTCCATGACAGCTACGGCCAATACTATATGACATTCAAACAATTTAATTTTTGAAATAGATAGCCACATATTTTCTCTTGTCTATGTCTATTATCTATGTCCCAGTGGCTGTGGTAATCACAAAATTTGACGTTTAGGATATACAATTTTTTTTGACAGGCAGTTTTTTTTCTTAAAATATTTAAAATATTTTTTTTCTTAAAAACGGTTAATGTTAGGTATAGAGTGTTTGATACCAAAATATATAAAATTTTATAGAGCATTTAAGTATGTAATAAAAAATTGGGGTACTCATTTAAAATAAGAGGTTGCTGTCAACTTCCGGTATTTCCGGAAGTGCCGTCATATTGAAAATATTTTTAATCGATAGATCTCATTGTGAAAAAGCGATGGGCAAAAAATCTTCGATCTAGATATTGTAGTTCTCTAGAAACTTCTAATGAACGATCAGCCTGGGACACTCTGTATACGTCAAGTTACTTAACTTTTTATGTTCTACCTTTTGCCCTTTCTCGTTTTACGCTATCTGTATCAATAACTAAAATAGTTTAAAATCAAATTTAGTCCGATGTCAGTCCTGAGCTAAATGAGCTTAAGTCACGTAAACGCAGTTTGGCTCAAACATCTTTGGGTTAGTTTAGTATGTTTATGCCCACAGGTCCACAGTGACGAAAATTGATTTTGACAGTTTTGCTATTATAGGGTAGTCAATCTAAACTTAATAAAGATAGTAAATTGGTTTGCAACATACATACCTGTTTTTACAATTTCCTGTTAAAAGCTTTCATATTATATCAGTAAGATACTTTTATTTGGACTTAAAATGATTTTGCTTTATTCATTTTGGCATAAACACAGATTATAAACTTATCGTCAAAAGTACTGTTTTTCGTGGTTCCAATTTTCGGAGTCGCGCACTAGTTAGGTTACTAGTTTGCGCACAAGCACGCCCACTTATGGCCTCTAAAGTTGTGCATAGCGCCTGACCGGTCTTGTGACCGGCCCAGTTACGCTGTTTAAACGGGAGTTTATTTTTGCGCACAAGAAAACTTACTCGTTTGCTCATCGTCATAAAAAACAATTTTCGTACCACGAATTAGGGACAAGATTTTTATCTGTATACTTATAGGATACCTAATATATAAGTCCGGTTCTACAGCGTGATCAGCCTTCCGGTTCCTTGCCGCCATTGCCTTCTGTCCATCCAGTCATCGGCTTGTAAATTGCGCAATGACGTTGCCTTTGTTACCCCCTTTAACCTCTCGGGGTCTTCCTCGTTTTCGTTTTGCAGTTGGGATCCATTTCATTATATTATTTGGTAATCTTTCTTCTCCGATTCTGTTTACATGCCCATACCAGATTAATTGTTTTTTTTTTATTTCTTCTAGGATACCTAATCTGCGGCATAAATAGGGACCTAATATAATTTCAGCTTTGTTAAGTTCTGTAAATATTTTTTTCTAATATACAAATTATGTTAAGTCACTCAAAAAAAAACGTTTACATTTCATTTAAGTTTAAAATAAGTTGTTTGTATGCCAAATATTACAATCATAGGTTTAAAAATAACCGACTAATTAGGAAATAACTTCAAAAAAGAACTTTAGGTTCGTTTTTTTTTTCAAAACTATGTTTTGTGACTTAATATAGTTTGCTTCTAGGGTACAGATTTGGAGTTTGACTAAATATAACCTGGGTTATATTTTTTAGGTGCAGCAGTTACAAAACTCTATGCAAGACATTTTTAAAGTTATGACAGTGTTCAGTCACAGTACTGGACTTAATCATTATTTAAAAGAAAATGGTATAGCTACTCAAACAGAGATTATAGCCGTTCACACACCACAGGTATTTCGTTTATTTTTAACATATTATTTGTTATACCGGATCGGCATTTCTGTTCTTGGGTGCCGATTTTCGTGTATACGAAGAGTACGGTCAATACACTCCGTATAATAAGATGTACCAATTACATTTTTCTTTCTCCGACTTACTAGATTACCATAGTGATTTATTCCTAGACATGTAAACCCCGATCCAAGACTTCGCTTGCCTATAAGGTGTACAGAAGTCACTCGTTTTACGCGGCGGTTATATATTTTTTTAAAAAACACGCAAAAAAAAAGACTTCTACAGGGTCCGGCAATAGTGCGTCGGACATCTGTAGCTCATAGAATAAAAAACTTGGGAATTTTGTTTAAGTCATTGCAAATCTAAAGTATGTACGAGGATGTATTTCAGGAAAATATTTTAACTTCTATAGGCTGGGGTCAAAAAAGCGTGAGTGGATCGGGATTATTTTTTTAAAATGAAACACCCCACATATTATATTTTTGGCTTCCTTTCAAGTCATTTTACATAATCCTAAGATATGAGTATATATATTTCGACAATTTTAGAGATATTAATAAATAAATAAAAATATGTATATGTATTTTTGTAAGAACTGTCCTGAAATCAAAACTATATTCGGTATTTACTTTAGATAGTCTATGGCTTACTTTGCTATAAATATCGTAATTTTAAACCATACAGGATGTTCAAAATTCCATGCCAAACTTTCTAAAATATAAAATAATTTTTCTTTAATTTTTTTAAATGGAACACCCTGTATATTATTTTTTTACTAGACGGAGAGTTAAAAAATGAACATTTTTTGTATTTAAAGTATTTCAAAATTTTTAACGGTTTTGCAGATACTTTTAATTTCAAGAGAAAATGTTTAATAAACGTTATTATTATTATTATTATACAGGGAGTATTATTTCATATGGCTGTTTCATTGGTAAAATAGGCGAGAAAAATCATTGGGTGGCTTTGATAAAGATTTACTGTCGAAAATGTGATATGAAAAATAAAACTGCGAATATCTGCGAAACCGTTAAAAATTTGGAATACTCTATATAAATACATTTTTTAATTCTTCATCTATAGATAAAATAATATGTAGGGTGCTCCATTTAAAAAAGGAAGGAACATTATTTTATATTTTAAAAAGTTTGGCGTAGAATTTTGAACATCCTGTATGATTTACGATTACCATATTTATTTTCCTGTTTCTTAGTTTCCTGTAGCAAAGTAAGTATAGACCATCTAAAGTAAATACCTAATATAGTTTTGATTTCAGGACAGTTCTTGTATTTGTAATATTTTTTTTAAAGGTTGAAAAATATATTTTTTTATTATCAGTTATCAATATCTCTGAAATTATTAAAATATATTTACTCATATCTTAGGATTATGTAAAGTGATCTAAAAGGTAGCCAAAAATGCAATAATATACGGGGTGTTCCATTTAAAAAAAATCATCCCGACCAAACCAAACCAAACCAAACCAAACCCTATAGAAGTTAAAATATTTTCCTGAAATACATCCTAGTACATATTTTAGGTTTGCACTTAAACAAAATTCCCAAGTTTTATAATCTAGGAGCTACATAAGCCTGACGCACTATTATTGCTGGACCCTGTATATACTAATTTATATCAATTGCTAAAACTAGATATGTAATTGTGTATTTTTATATCAATATACACAGTGTATGCAAAAAAAGAAAAAAAAAACAAAGGAAACCCTTCTTATTCAGAACCTAGAAATTAGTTGAATAAATTAGTGGTTTCATGTATACTTTATATACTTAAACATTTACGATCATTCACAATGTATAAAAAATACAAATTAAAATTAATAGAATATCCTAGCAACAGCTTAAGATACTTTTAGACGGTCAGTTCAGGTTTTCCTTCAGTTGTCAGTTAGTGTATGTTCAAATACAAAAAAAAGACTGAAAAATGATGAAAAGCTGAAACTGAAACGGAGCCCTGACTCGATGGATTTTTCAAAGTTTTTATATCAGTTGTCAGTTAAAATAATATGTAAACAAACATGGCAGTTCATGTGTCAGTTTTCGCAGTAGCATAATAAGACTTAAGCTGCATTCAGAACGTCGCAATTAGTGGTGGTAATTTTTAATTATTGGAAAAAGTTAACAAACTTTTGACTTTTCCACTGCTTGAAAACTTGCGAAGAATGTCATTTTGGCCTTTGATTATCACCCGTCAAGAAAAATGTTGGCTAGAAATCAAAAGTTTATTGTTTTATAAGCTAAATATTGTGCTTTCTCTATGCACACAACAGACTACCGCAAGCTGTTGTTAGGATATTTTATTGATTTTAATTGTGTTTTAACTAAAAAGTATAAAGTGTAACTGAAACCACTAATTGGGAGGTTGTGAATGAAGTTATACAGGGTGTCCCAGGCTGAGCGTGCATTAGAAGTTTCTAGAGAACTACATAATCTAGATCGGAGATTTTTTGCATATTACAACGACATCTATGGATTAAAAATATTTTCAATATGGCGGCACTTCCGGAAATACCGGAAGTTGACAGCAACTTTATTATTTATTTTAAATGGGTACTCCCATTTTTTATTACATATTTAAATTCTCTCTCAAATTTTATGAATTTTGATATTAAACACTCTATACCTAACATTCACCGTTTTTGAGAAAAAAAATATTTAAAATTTTTCAACGAAAAAAACTGCCTGTCAAAAATATGTGTATAGCTTAAACGTCAAATTTATTGATTACCACAGTCACTGTGACATAAAAAGATGACATGTGGCTATCCATTTCAAAAATGAAATTGTTCGAATGTCATATAATAATGACGGCAGCTGTCATGGAATTGAGCGATTAAAAAATTATCATAAATCATTTTTTTCAAGTGGAAATCCACTTTTTTTATTTCACTAGTGAAAAGGCTTTTCAATTTGTTACTTTTTGACTATAGTCTTTTTGACTATATGTTCCTATACCTAAAATAAATTGTTTTTAAGTTATTTAAGATTAGTTTTAAAGCGTATATTTTTCTTGATTTTAACCAGTAGCCTATGACTTTAAAAGTCAAGCGATGTAAAACAGTAAATCTGGCCATGTCATATTGTGACACTTTGTTCAAAAAGCAGTATGTTATCGATCATCATTTCCAAGCCAACTCTCGACCATACGGTATATTATTAATAATATCAACTACTAGTGTATACCCGCGACTTTGTTCGCATCGAATTAATCATTTGTAATGGTGATGATAAAGCAAAGCAAGAATTTCCATTAACATACAAACTGGATAAAATTTTCTCACATTTATGTCAGCACGAGAAAAAACAATATGGCGATATTATTATATAACTTGGTAATATTTGAGAGGTAGTTTCATCTCGTTGGAATTTAACTTTCGAAAAATCCGTTTGCCAAAAATAAGCTTTTTACGTCAAACAGTTTAAGCAGAATCGTGGTTAAGAAATTACCCAACTTTTTGAAACACCCTGTAAGATTTTTTAAAAAATTTCAAAATATGTAAAAAACCAAATAAATTATCCTTGTCCAAGCGTTTTCCCGAAGGACTAACCGTTTTTTAAATAACAAATATTGTAATATTTGAGGGGCGTTTTCACCCGCTTGCAATTTGAGATTCGAGAAACCCCTCCTTATCGAACCTCTACACCCCACAGTCAATCTGTTTGCCAAAAATCAGCTTTAAACGTCAAGCAGTTTAAGCAGAATCGTGATTACTCAATGGTCATATTTTATGAAACACCCTGTATAAATTTATAAAAAATCTTAAAATATGTAAAACAACAAAATAAAATATACGTGTTTAAGAGTTTTTCCGAAAAACTTACCGGTTTTTAAATAAAAAATATTTTAATATTTGAGGGTTAGTTTTACCCCCTTAGAATTCGAGTTTCGAAAAATCCCTTCTTATCGAACCTCTACACCCTAAAGTCAATCTGTTTTCCAAAAATCAGCTTTTTACGTCAAGCGCTTTAAGCAGGATCGTGATTAATCAATGACCAGATTTTTCGAAACACCCTGTATACATTTTAAAAAAATCTTAAAATATGTAAAAAACAAAATAAAATATACGTGTTTAAGCGTTTTTTTCCGAAACTCGACCGTTTTTTAAATAAAAAATATTGTAATATTGGGTGGTTTCACCCTCTTGGGACTGGAATTTCGAAAAATACCTTCTTATCGAACCTCTACACCCTAGAATCAACCTGTATGCCAAAATTGAGCTTCTTACGTTGAGTGGTTTGAGCAGGATCATGATTAATCAGTATCTCAGTCACTTAAGGATTTTATATATTATTATACTTCGATAGCCCCGTCCTCGAGATCACAATGTAGTTTATGCTACTCAGCTTTTTTGGCGTAATGTTTACAAAATTAAAAAGATTTATGTCCCTTGGTCGTCGCCAGTGTAACACAACCTTTTCATTTTTCATTATGTTTCTTACGCTTGAATCGCGTGGATTGTGTAGCATTTCTGGCAGTGTTTTATTTTGTGTGTCTTAATTTTGGATAACCATGGCGAATAAAAAACGTAAGTAAGTAAGGTTTAAGGCTAGTTAGGTAACATCATCTGGCACCTGTTATTCCAAAAACAAAAGTTAGTAAGTGTAATAACTTACAGATAACTTAATGCAGAGCTATGGTTATTTAGACAAAGTAATATCTGGTCCTAAATATCCGGAATACAAATTAATTTTTCAGATATGTAAAATACCTGTTTGGTATTTTATAAAAAATTGTAATGTAACCTTGCATTCTAAAAAAAATGAAGAATGACGTATTAACAGGAGTGTAAAAATACCAATGAATGAATTAAAATGGAAAATAATACACGTATTTTTTCTCGGACGCGGTGACCTATGATGATAAAAAGCCATTTTAAGAAACAATTTTGCTGATTGGCAAAATGGAGCATTCTTGAGTATACAGAACACGCCAAAAAGATGCATATTTTCTTATTCCTATTATTAAAAAAAAGGAAATATTTAAAGTTTAATAATAACGATCAATTTTAGGAATTCACATGTCTGCCCTTTAGTTTAACAGCAGCAATAATTTGATAATGTCATTACCCAAAGAAAAGGTCGAAAACTTAATTTCACTTTAAAAAAAAATCTTAAGCAAAAACAAATACCCAAATTAGGAAATATGCGAAAATAGGGGGCGTCCTCGTCTCCGTTAACCCAGCTATTCAGTATGGTTGGGATATAAAATGTTTTGAAAAAAAAAACAAGTATAAAGCTTTAAATAAATTTTACGGAGACTACGACGAAATAATAGAAATACCAAAAAGTTACAGCAAGTTTTCGCTTGGTGGTTAGCAAATATCTGATTGCAAAACGAGCTTCAGAAAGGAAATATATTCGCTAACCACGGACGCTAGTATTTCTGAATGGGGGCTACGTGTGATGGTAACCTAGCAAGAGAGTTTTGGAATAATGTAGAACGCACCTCTCATGTAAACCATTTAGAACAAATAAGGCTTTTAACGGGTTAAAAACCTTTTCAAAAATGCACAGAGAATGCCATATATTTATATGACTGAGAATGGATAATACCACTACAATCTGTTATGTAAATCGAATGGGAGGAATAAAATTTCCAGAATTAAATACAGTAACCAAAGAAATTTGTGAATCAACAATAAAATTTTTTAAAACATATTTTTATGCGTTTCTCCCGTTTTCCCTTCTTACTAATAAGGCTTTAAAGAAGATAATAGCTGGAAAAGCTAAAGGAATTGTCATATTTTCTTAATGGTAATCTCAAGTCTGATTCCCCATATTAGGGCATCAGTAACTAGATTTATGAATGAGGTTTTCAGACAAAGACTTATTTTCCCAAGGTACAATGAGACATGGGACGAAAATCCGTTTCTTATTTAGAAACATTAGAACCTTAAGATTCACTTGCCTTTCAAAAACTAACCTACAAATCTATAGTTTTACTAGCTTTTAAAACAAGTCAGAGAATACAAACACGAAAATTAGGTAACAATATAAAACAGTTAGTAGTAATATAAAACAGTTTGAGGACAGACTAGAGAAAAATTTAACAGATATTATAAAACCGTCTGTATGAGGAAATGTTAACCAAAAATTGTACTCCCATATTTTAGAGAAAACCCATGTCTTTGCATAGCATCTATTTTAAAATCAAATAGTGCGAGACACTCATCAACATCAGCAGTCTTTCAACGAGGACTAAATATCGAAAACATTCGAGGTGCAGCTGGATAGAGCTATAAATTCAATACATTTAATTTATTTTATAATAAGGCTCTACGTTATAAGCACAATATTTCGGTAATAATGGGAAAATAAAGACAACTTAAACTAATCAAAATTTTATATACAAACTTATCATTTACTTTAGATTTAACTTTGTTGGTAATAGGCTTCACATTTTAAAATAATGTGAATAAATATTTTATTCAAGTAAAACTAAACAACAAATATAACTACTCTCGTAGTGAACATGAAAGTACAGATCCAGATCGAGAACATATGCTTTCAACATCTACATTGTGATCTCGAGGACGGGGCTATCGAAGTATAATTAGAGATTAAACGACTTACCTGTAAGGAAGTTCAATCCTCAATTATACGAGATAGCCCCGTCCGAAGAGATCACACCTACCCTCCCCGCGCACCACTACAGCGGGTGCAGCCCAAGAAATTCTTGATCCGGGGAAATAGAAAAACATAATGAAAAATGAAAAGGTTGTGTTACCTGGCGACGACCAAGGGACATAAACCTTTTTAATTTTGTAAACATTACGCCGAAAAAGCTGAGTAGCATAAACTACATTGTGATCTCTTCGGACGGGGCTATCTCGTATAATTGAGGATTGAACTTCCTTACAGGTAAGTCGTTTAACCTCTAAGTATAGATTAGATATCACTAAAGAGCGAAAATACGAGATATATTTTTATAAATATACTTTTTAAACTTTTTAGCAGGCAGTATTTATAATATAGGAAATTCAAATAATTAATTTTCTGACAGCTAGATAAAATCATGAAAAATATATGTTTTCAAACTAAATCTTAAATAACTTAAAAACGATTTATTTTAGGTATAGGAACATGTATACTCAAAAAGTAACGAATTGGAAAACCTTTGCACTAGTGAAATAAAAAAAGTGGGGTTCTATTTGAAAAAAATGATTTTTGACAATTTTTTAATCGCTCAACTCCATGACAGCTACCGCCATTATTATATGACATTTAAACAATTTAATTTTTGAAATAGATAGCCGCATGTCTAAATTTGACTTTTATGCTATACAATTTTTTTTAACAGGTAGTTTTTTTCGTCCAAAAATTTTAAATATTTTTTTCCTCAAAAACGGTTAATGTTAGGTATAGAGTGTTTAATATCAAAATTCATAAAATTTTACAGAGAATTTAAATATGTAATAAAAAATGGGGGTACCCATTTAAATAAGAAAGTCGCTGTCAACTTCCGGTATTTCCGGAAGTGCCGCCATATTGACAATATTATTAATCGATAGATGTTGTTGTAAAACAATGAAGTGCAAAAAATCTCCGATCTAAATATTGTGGTTCTCTAGAAACTTCTAATGCACGCTCAGCCTGGGACACCCTGTATATCTTGCGCAATGCCCAAACACGACTTTTTAATGGATTTTTTTGCTTTATGAAAAATACCCATGCTTGGGGAGGCCACGCATTACCTTAAGAATCACAAAAGAGAGGCATGTTACAATGTTTTGTTGAAGAAATAACGTATGATTGAAAAAAAAACGCGTCAATAGGCTAGTCGACGGCTAGGGAATGACAATCCTTAATAATTTTTGTGAAGTGAATCTCTAGATATCATTTACTAAAAATTGACATAAAACTTATCAAAATTAATACTAATTATAGAAAGATTGAAAAGGGATAAATTATACTCAAAACTAGTTAAAATAAAATAAAACTTTTTTTTTTCAAAATATGAGCCAACAATAAGTAAACATATAATATAATTAAACATGTTTATCGCGTATCTGCATTTAACAAATGCACACTGTACTCTCTCTGTACAAATGCACACAATGTATGTGTGCTTCCATAGAACATAGTTAAGAAATGTTGTGTATTTGATAATATTTTACCAGACCGAGATTGGACATAAGAAAGATCATATCAATATATTTCATCATCGTCATTTCCAGCTTATTCGACCATTTCCAATTGTCTATTGGTTTGGTTCAAGTTATCCCTGCTAATTTCTTAAAACCATGGTCCCTTCTTAGGTTTGGTTTTCTTCTGGTCTCAAAATTCCTCGAGGGTACCATGCCATATGCACCAAAATAAGTTTAATATGTATTATGTAATATAAAAATAATATAATTTATATTATAATCAAACGTGTAATTTTAAATTTTAGGATGACTCTGCGAAAGGGTTTCCCTTTCAAAGGCAACACATTACTCAACATCGTCCATCATCGTTACCTTTGCCTATAAATCAGCGAAGAAAGGAAACAACAGCGGATGATCCGGTAAATTCCGAATTGAAAGAATTTGCTGGTAGTCTAGTAGATGGGGTAATTAAAACCGTTTCGGAAAAAGTGGAATTTCAGGTACATAAAAGTGGTAGATAAAGGAAGGAGTATAATATTATTTATACAGGGTGTTTCAAAAACGCGCCGTCTCTCGTGGGAAGATTCCTCACGTAATAATAAGATTTATTTTTTATATTTTGTAGCTAAAGGGGGTTAAAGTCTTTTTCATTTTTTTTCATTATAATTTTCTTCCAAGTGCTTTTAACGATTCAAATTAAATTTTGAGGGTAAAGCTGGGCGCGCACTGAAGGGGTATCGGCGCGACCGACCGATCCGAAAGTCGATCGACGGTCGAGAGTACGTCACCAGCATATATTTGAGCATAGACTAGGAGAAGTTTATTCAAATTTAGTCAAATTCATTCGATATTTCAAAAAATTACAAAGTATTATACAGGGTGTCCCGGAAATAAGTGCAAGTATTTTAAGGGGTGGTAGATCTCGATAAAAGAAATATATTTTTCCTTTACCGTTTTTCAAATAAAATTTCCAAAAAAAATGATTTTTTGCTCAAATTTTGAGAACCACTGGATCTTTTCTGGATTTTCTTTCTTGTAAATTTAATCTACTACCTATGTTGCCATATTATCAAGAAATTACGTTTTTCAACTAAAAACTAAAAAAAAATATCCAAAAATTTTTTCCAAAAATTTCGTATTTTCAAATTTTTTTTTTCGCAAAAAAAACTCATAGGCGTGTTTCTGGGGTTGAACTATACTACCAGTTAAAATACTTGCACTTATTTCTGGGACATCTTGTATATGTTGGAGGGGGAAAATGCCGAATTCGGCCTATGTCCGAAATAATTAGACATGCGGCGATTTGTCCATACTAAACTTGCCAGATGCGTGCAACTTCGTGGTTATAAATAGTCTTTATATAACTTCTTTGCGGAGGGGGTTAATCTTATTTTGGTACCTATAATATAACAACAGAAGATTAACACCCTCCGCATATAAGTTGAAACCAATACAATCAAAACTCTTCCGCGTAACTTTGTGGATATAGGTAGGTATATTTAATTATAATATCGCCATATGTCTAATTATTTCGGACATAGGCCGAATTCGGCATCTGCCTCCAACATATACAGGGTGAGTTTCCTACGATGTTCTCTATGGATATCTCGGAAACTACTGGAGATAGAGAGTCGGTTAAATGGGGAAAGAATTGCAGTTTTGTGGAGTCATAAATATGCGCCTTTAAAATTTTTGAAAAAGTTCATGGCTTACTAGATATTTCGAAAAAACCAAATTTGGGCTATTTTAAAAATTGTCCCTAATTCCATTATAAGCTATTTTAGACAAAAAGTTTTCAGATAAAAGTTGTAGATAATCACATTCTTTATGAGACCGTGTCCTCCGTTTTCTTCTATAGCCTGTCATTTTTGATATATGACACATACATATGTTTTTTTAAATGGAAACCATAGTTGGTCATGACTTCATAAAAAGCGCCATTTTTTAAGCTTTTTAGCGATATAAGCTATAATATGTTTTCTTCGAAAAATTACTGAGTTATAGCCAATTCTTATCATTTTTAAACAATTTCTCTTAGTTAGCCATGGAAACAAGTTCAATCGTCGTTGCTCTCGAGTGACAGTACTAGAAAAGTTTAATTAAGTTGACCGGTCCTTTTATGAGAATAGGTAGTAATTCAGTTTTAAAAAGATACAACTCAAAACAATGGCGGAACATTTTCTAAAATAACTTAAAGGGTATGCAGTGGTATTATTTTTTTAAGTTTTAGTTTGTTCAATGTAAATTGTAAGGAACCGTTTAGTAATATATTGTGACTTTTTATAAGTTATAAATCATAACAGAATAAGAATACCATGCAATCTAATTGAAATTAGCCAAAAAAGATAAGAATTGGCTATAACTAAATTTAACTTTCCTAATATGTCTTGACAACCGTTCTCTAAAAAACGTAACATTCACCGGTCAACGTATCCTCGAAAATGTATGGTCAAGAAAAGTTGAACCAATAATCCTACACGCTTTTCTTCATTTGAAAAATTCATATTTACAATTTTTGCTTATTTTAATTTACGAAGTTTGGATGTGACAGCTTCACATTTCTGAGAGTAATGGCGATTGAACTTGTTTCCATGGCTAACTAAGTGAAATTGTTTAAAAATGATAAGAATTGCATATAACTCAATAATTTTTCGAAGAAAACATATTATAGCTTATATCGCTGAAAAGCTTAAAAATGGCGCTTTTTATGAAGTCATGGCCAACTATGGTTTCCATTTAAAAAAACAGATGTTTGTGTCATATGTCAAAAATGACAGGCTTTCGAAGAAAACGGAGGGCACATTCTCATAAAGGATATGATTATCTACAACTTTTATCTGAAAACTTTTTGTCTAAAATAGGTTATAATAGAATTAGGAACAATTTTTAAAATAGCCGAAAATTGTTTTTTTCGAAATATCTAGTAAGCCATGAACTTTTTCAAGAATCTGAAAAGCGCATATTTATGACCCCACAAAACTGCAATTCTTTCCCCATTTAACCGACTCTCTATCTCCAGTAGTTTCCGAGATACCCATAGAGAACATCGTAGGAAACTTACCCTGTATATTATGAAATAGACAAAATGTTAAAATACAACTTTTAATCGGTATTAAATGGTCTACACAATTTTGTTAAGAAGAGGTCAAAAAAGGGTGGCAACACGCGCTTTTAGAAATTGCATATTTATCTATTTCTTTTTAATTATTTCCTGTTCTCAAATTTTTTGGCGTTTCTTTCAAATGTAGAATTTTTGCTACAGCAGTGCCTTCTTAATTGTTCCTTTTTTGATGACCACTTTTCAATACACGAAAATAATTCTCCTTACCCTCCATGGCTAAGGCTAATCTTGCGCGGAATCCGAAGCGCGGTTCTCGGCCATATCATTGTCAATAGCCTACCTTGGCGACTGTCCAAATCGACTCTTACGAGATATCCGATCAGTGCGTGTCAATAAATTTTGCAAAAAATGTCTATGCCTATGTGGCGGATTCATCTCTCCAAAAAATCCTATATGGGTATTTCGCCACTGTAAGAAAATCTACAAAATAAAATAGTTATTTTTGTAAACACTGCTGCGTTAATCCAACGGAAACTACTTGTCAGCTGTTAGGTTGACACATAAACAAAGTTGCCTAACGAACAAAAAAATGCTTAACGTTTCGGAAAGTTTATCTCTTTCCGTCGTCGGAACCAAAAAAATACAAAGAATAAAGAAAAAAACTAAACTGATCGTTGACAGCGTTTTTTTGTAGACGTATCTGTTTAAAAAAAACTAAAATGTTCTCGAATAGTTGCATTTAAATATTTTAAATAGTTTTTTTCTGTATTCTTTGTATTTTTTTGCTTCCGACGACGGAAAGAGATAAACTTTCCGAAACGTTAAATACCGTACATCAATACCGTACCGAGAAAAAATTAAAATAAACATAAACGAACCAACAAACCAAACCAAACTCAACCAATCATAACACTCTGTAAGCGCCTGTTTACGAATTCCAATTGTCGAATGCAAATGAAAATATTATATTAAATCGGGTGCGTCTTAAAAGTGGCTCACCTCTATAATTTTTTTATTTTTTCAGATAAAAAAAGAACGAGATTTGGTGCGTTAGTATACGACTTAAATTGGGATTTGATTGATGTATTCAATAATTGTTTTTGGTCACTTCCTGTTTCACCGGAAATTACTACATCTTTCGATTTTTAAATGGCACCCTCGGTATTCTTTTACTTTATTCGATAGAAAATGATATTCTGAATAGAATGACATATCATATGTCAACTTTTGATATTCTCGCTTAATAAAAAATAGTATTTTAAGTTTCAATTTAGTGTGCCATGGCTATGTTAAAAACACTAATTCTTAATCAAGGAGCCTTGGAAAAATAGATTTGATTGTTTAATGTTTTTAGTGTCTTTTCCTGACCCGTTACAAGATGCCCAAATCGTATTTTTAAAATCATCTCAATAGGTCTGTTCACTAAAAAAAAATTTGCACTAAAAGCGGTAAAAAAATAATGTTTTAGTATTATAATACCAATTAAATAACTCTTTTTTCAAAAAAAATAAACTCCTTTGACAAGAGAGACTCTTGAAGTTATGCGCTCCGTTCAAATGAAATAAACGCGCTCTCATTGGCCTGCCGTCACATGCCTGCCGCACGCTGCTCCACTTGCGACGGCAAGACCGTGATTCAGTTTGACTGGGACACTCAATGTACTTCAATACAAGGTATTGAAGTACAGTCGACATTTACAGCAGTTACATTATTATTTTTGTTGTTGAATACCGTAAAAGAAGTTGTATTTGTTGCTAAATATGGAGGAGGGTTTCCAGAAAGGAGATTCACATAATTTACCGCAAGTAGATGTCAATATGGTATTTGACTTTCTCGCGATGAATACTGATTATAACCAAGTTGAATCCAGTGGTGTTAAAGCCTTTTTACAATATGTTAATAACAATAACGAAATAGGGAAAAAATACTTAGCACAAATAAATCTGCAAATGTTAGCAAGAGGTGTTGAAAAAGGAATATTTTGCGTAGCACACCCCAATTTTGAAGCTACAAAGGCAAGGAAATTACTGTTATCAACGTTAAATATAATGAGGATTTTACAAAAGGTCTTATTGACTCTGCCATACACTTTTGGAAAACCAACATTTTTAAATTACTGTATGCAGTTTTTACTGAATAAACATTTAAGATCTTAATAAAAATATCGTTTAGGAAACCATTGTTTTATTTAGAAACAGACATAGTATAATCTTAATGTACTGTTGTATTATAATGGGTTTTTGTAAGTTTATTATGGCACAGAAAATACTAACTACGTTATCTAGTTTTTGAACCATTGCTGAAGAAATAGTAGAGTGGGGTCCTAACATTTTAAATGTCGCAAGCGATTTTTTATACGTTCAGTATGTATTCGCACACTTGCAATTCGTTTTGTAAGCAGAACGTCATCCTTGGTCATTTTTACATTACTTACAACAC